GTTGGTTTGATCGTCCTAGTACTTCGGACTAACCTTCCTGGCGCCATGCCACTTCACGCAACCGTGAACTTTAGGAAAAGCGACAGAGATTATCGTGGAGCGACTGATAATGAGCTGCTCTCTCGTGCTCTTCTCTCTCCTTTTTTCTCTCCTTTTTTTTCCTCTCTTTCTTAGCGACAATTGAACCGGCCGGTTAATAACTACAGCTTCGCGAGCCACCTACTATCGACATGGTAAAGTCCAACGAGATGAATTCTATCGTGGAGAACGAAAGAATAACAACTCGTTGATTGGAAACTCAACTGTTCCCGATGGAATGCGGGTAAATAGATGATTTTGTTGTACCGATCGGAACCGAGCCAATAACTGATGGATATTAATTGCACGGTATGGATATAGCACTGGATGCTATGTCGATCAGTCTTGGATTGGTTGAATTTATTTTTGACGAATTCTTTTGCGAAAGAACTTGACTAGGATAGTTGATGAATATGAATTGAAAGCTCTCTCTCATTTTGGATGGATCGTTTGTTTGTTTATAGATTCTGGCGAGAATTTGCCTGTGTGATTTGAATCAATTCTAAATATTTGAATCTTCTCAGTGTTGGCTGTTGATGGAAAGATTTTATCATTAAATTTTATCAAGATTGAAACTTTAAAGATCTAAATAAAATTAGGTTAAACAATCTAGGACCATCATTTTAAATACATATGTGGGTTATAGTCAATATTTGTGATTATATTAGATATATTTGTGATTATATTATATTAGATCAATCAGAGTTAAAAACAGATTCTTGAATATTAAAAAAAAAACACGTGAAAGATCCTAAATAAAATTTAGGATGATGAAAAAATAATTTACGTTTGACAGAAAAATATAACATTGAATATTGAAAGTCAATATTTTTATTAACATAGTCTCGCCGTGCAAGACGATCTCCGCGAAAACAACTTCCTTGTGTTATAAATAATTCGATAAACGAGCGCTTGCAAGAGAAATAAAAATAAGCGTGATATACGAATAAATAAGAAGATTAAAAGAAGCGATCGAGTCGTAGAAGCTATTTCGAACTTGGAATTATTGTAACGAGGCCGGTGGCAAATTAATCTCGTACCCGATAATTGCAGCCGAAATCACTGGAAAAAACCCAAGGCGGATTGGAGGTTGTTGCGAGGAAAAAAAAAAAGACAAAAACTTTGCATAATGGAATATTCAGCAGTTAAACAGGCCAATTTAACAATTAAATCGATTAGAATTCCACGAAGTCGATGATTTCCGGCATCCTCGAGACAGAGAAGAAATTGATCGTCGAGATGAATGTTAAACACCTTCGTTTAAGATTGATCGTCAAGGCTCATCCGAGGTATTATTGGAAAGATTAACGAAGTCAGAGGTAAGCGACCATAATTGACAACTAGGAATAATGTTGACCCCCTCAATTTCACTAGAATTATTAATGAAACCGCGTCTTCTCGAGTGAGTTTTCAGTTGACCCATAAAATTCTACCCTACTACAGAAGATTAATAGATGCAGATCGCAAGTTATCATTGCTATTGTGATTAATAATCTAATTTCCAATCACTCTTAATATTACAATCACTGGTAATCACTAGAAAAGAAAATCAATCGAAACATTCTTTGGAACCATTAAAAACTACACAAAAAACAATCTTACAAAATCATCGATAACCAAACTCATCATACTATCCTATTAATACAATCATTTCCTTTCAATCACTTTCATTTTCACGGATATAAAATTTCCCAAAATTAAAGATTCCTCATCCAAAATCACCAAATTACTCCACCAACAAACTTTACGATCAAAGATCCATCCCAAGAAAAAGTATCATATCCATATATATATATATAAAACAAAGGAAGCAGAGAAAGCGATATAAAAATGGAAAAGAGAAGCAAATGTCGTTGCAGCGTTGAAGGGTGGGGAAAAAAATATCAAAAGAAAACAGAAGAAACTAACATCCACTCACACGGCGTCCACGGAGCTGGCGTTATCCGGTTTGCAGTATTGTTCAAGCTGAGCATAGCTGCACTGATGGTAGCAACACTCCTCCGCGAGTCCGGGCCCCACAGTGTCCATAGGGTCGTCCTCGCCACTGTACG